AAATAAATAAATAAATAAATAAATAAAATAACTGGAATGTGGAATGTACAAAGTATGAATCTAGGAAAATTGAAAGCTGTCAAAAATGAAATAGAACGCATAAAGATAGATAGCCTAGGCATTAGTGAGTTGAAATGGACTGTTTTGGCCATTTTGAATCAGAATATTATATGATCAACTATGTTGGGAATGACAAATTGAAGAGAAATGGTGTGGCATTTATCATCACAAACAATGTTTCAAGATCTACCCTGAAATACAGTGCTGTCAGTGAAAGGATAATATCCATATACCTACAAAGATGATCAGTTAATATTACTATTATTCAAATTTACATGCCAACTACTAAAGCCAAACACCAGGAAACTGAAGGTTTTTATCAACTTCTGCAGTCTAAAATTGACCAAACATGCAATCAAGATGTATTGATTATTACTGGTGACTGGAATGTGAAACTTGGAAACAAAGAAGACCAATAGTTGGAAAACATAGCCTTGGTGATAAAAATGATGCTAGAGATGGCATGACAGATTTGCAAGACCAAGGACTTATTCATTGCAAATACCTTTTTCAACAACATAGCAGCGGCTATAAATGTGGACCTCACCAGATGGAATACACAGGAATCAGATCGAATACATCTGTGGAAAGAAACGATGCAGCAGCTCAGTATCTTCAGCCAAAACAAGGCCAGTGTGGAAAAGACCATTAATTGCTCATATGCAAGCTCAAGTTGAAGCTGAAGAAAATTAACAAGAGCCAAAATAACGACCTCGAGTATATCCCACCTGAAGCACTGATCACCAAAGACTGAAAACCAAATGAATTATAGGATGATATCAAGAACATCAAATATGAAGACAGTAAGGAATTAGGAAGAAAAGACCAACACGGATGTTAGAGGAGACTCTGAAACTTGCTTGTGAATGGAGAGCAGCTAAAGAAAATGGAAGAAATGACAACATAAAAGAGCTGAACAGAAGGTTTCAAAAAGCAGCTCAAGAAGACAAAGTCAATTATTATAAGGTAATGTATAATAAGATATGGAATTAGAAAATCAAAAGGGAAAAATGTGCTCAGCATTTCTTAAGCTGGAAGAACTAAAAAAATTCAAGCCTCGAGTTGCAATACTGAAAGATTCTATGGACAAAATAGTGAATGGTGCAGGAAGCATAAAAAGATGATAGAAGGAATACACAGTCACTGCACAAAAAAGAATTGGTCGATATTCATCTATTTCAGGAGGTAGCATATGATCAAGAACCAGTGTTACCGAAGGAAGAAGTTGGAAGCTGCATTAAAGGAACTGACAAAAAACAATGTTCCAGGAATTGAGATGTGTCAACAAACGGATGCCACACTGGAGGCACTCACTCACAAAGAAATCTGGAAGACAGCTACCTAGCCAACTGACTGGAAGAAATCCATATTTGTACCCATTCCAAAGAAAGGTGATCCAACAGAATGTGGAAATTATCAAAAAGTATCATTAATATCATGTGCAAGTAAAATCTTGCTAAATATAATTCAAAGATGGTTGCAGCAGTATATTAACCAGCAACTTCCAGAAATGCAAGCCGGATTCAGAAGAGGACGTAGAACAAAGGATATCATTGCTGATATCAGATGGATTTTGGCTGAAAGCAAATAATACCAGAAAGATGTTTACTTGTGTTTTATTGACTATGCAAAAACATCCAATTATGTGGATCATGACAAATTATGGATAACACTGAGAAGAATGGGAATTTCAGAACACTTAATTTTGCTCATGAGGAACCTGCACCTTGACTAGGAGGCTGTCGTTCGAATGGAACAAGGGGATGCTGCATGGTTTAAAATCAAGAAGGGTATGCATCAGGGTTGTATCCTTTTACCATACTTGTTCAATCTGTATGCTGAGCAAATAATCTGAGAAGCTGGACTATATGAAGAAGAACGTGGCATCAGGACTGGAAAAGACTCATTAACAACCTGCGATATTCAGACCACACAACTTTGCTTGCTGAAAGTGAAGATGACTTGAAGCACTTAGTGATGTAGATTAAAGGCTATAGTCTGCAGCATGGATTACACCTCAACATAAAGAAAACAAAAATCCTCACAACTGGGCCAATAAGCAGCATCACAAGAAATGGGTAAGACTGAAGTTGTCAAAGATTTCACATTGCTTGGTTCTACAATCAATACCAATGAAAGTAGCAGTCAAGAAATCAGCCATCGTATTGCACTGGGCAAATATGCTGCAAAAGACCTCTTTAAAGTGCTGAAGAGCAAAGATGTCTCTTTGAAGACTAAAGTGCGCCTAACCCAAGCCATGGTGTTTTCAATCACCTCATATGCATGTGAGAGCTGGGCAGTGAATAAGGAAGACCAAGAAGAGTTGATGCTTTTGAGTTGTGGTGTTAGCAAAGAATACTGAAAGTATCATGTACTGCCAGCAGAACTAACAAATCTGTCCTGGAAGAAGTGCTGCTGAAATGCCCTTTGGAAGCAAGAATGGCAAGTTCGTCTCACCTACTTTGGTTATGTTGTCAGAAGGGGTCGTTCTCTGGAGAAGGATATCACACTTGGTAAAACAGAGGGTCAGCAAAAAAGGGGAAGGCCCTCAGTGACATGGATTGACACAATGGCTGCAAAAATGGGCTCAGCTATAGCAAGGATTATGAGGCTGGAGAAGGACCAGGCACTTGTTTTGTTCTTTGTAAATGTGGTTGCTATGTGTAGGAGCTGACTCTACAGCACCTAACAACAATGCCTAGGATATCGATGCTTTTGAGTTCCATTTCATTTTTTACAACTTCCAATTTTCCTTCATTCATACTTTGTATAGTCCACATTCTGATTATTGATGCTTGCAACTGTTTCTTGTCATTTTGAGTCATGCCACATTAGCAAATGAAGGTCCCAAAAGCTTCACTCCATCATCATTAAGGTTGACTCTACTTTGAGGCAGCTCTTCCTGTATTGTAGACTGAGTGCCTTCCAACCTGAGGGGCTCATCTTCTGGCACTGTATCAGACAATGTTTCCCTGCTATTCAACTGGCCAACTTTTTAGAAGTGGACCCAGCCATGTCCTTCTTCCTAGTCGGTCTTAGTCTGGAAGCTCTGCTGAAACCTGTCCACCATGGGTGATCCTGCTGGTATTTCAAATACCAGCAGCATAGTTTCCAGCATCAGAGCAACATGCAAGCCACTACAGTAGGACAAACTAATAAATGAGTGGTGGCAAATGGCATTATACTTTCAAAATTACAAATGCAAGTGCTTTTTGTTCCACTTTAGAGAAATTATACTAGGTAATAAACTTGCCCATGTATAATTTAACAAGCATACATGGTTATTTATTACAGCATTATTTGTAGTAGCACAACAACAGAAATGAATCAAAATTCATTAATAAAGGACTAAGTAAATTAGGTATGTCCATTCAGTGGAATACTACACTGCTAAGAAAAATGAATGATAATGTTCACTGTGTATTGATGTGAAAAGTTTCATCCAGAAATATACTTTTATACTATAACATCATATTTTTTTACACATACATAGAGACTCAGAAAGAATATATAAGAAACCAAGGACAGGGGTTACCTGTTTGTGTGTAGGCTGGAACGGGGCAAATGGAAGAGACTTGCGAGACTTTTCACTGAAAACCTGTTTTAATTGTTCACTGAAAATTTGTCTTAGTGTTCTAGTTTTGCACACATGAATTTACCTACTGAAAAAAAAAAGAACCCCACCATACTAGAATATGCTTTACATATTCTAAAAATAAAATATATGATTGTTGCTCCCACAGCATGTGTGTCTACTTATTTGGACATCTTATGTACTTCATTATATAAAGTTTTTGTGAATAGGATCTTTTGTTCAATAAAGTTTCAAACTAATAATTGTTTCTAATTTTATATGTAGCTGTTGTGTTTTCTATGATGATTCCTCATCTTGCTGAATTTTCCTATGTATTTTAATAATTTATCAATTGGTTCCTTTTGTTTTTCAAAGTAAATGATCATATCATGAACAAGTAATTAATGTCTATGTCCTCTATTTATAGATCTATTTTGGTCATTTTGTATTAGAAGTATAGTGATAAAAATTCTATTTTGGACTCAGATTAACTGGACAACTTAATCTTAGTTCTACCATTTAGATTATGCCATCTTGTTACGTTATTTAACTATCTGTATCTCAGATTTCTCATCTGTAAAATGAGGATAATATCTTTGAGGTGGTTGTAAGGATCAGATGATATATTTTATGTAAAGCACACAGTAAAGTTCTTGATGGTATCCTGAATTAATCATTTCATATAATTAAGGTATTTGAGATGGAAAGAGTGAATGGATATGAGTGATATTGAGAGGTATAAGTCAGCAGAATCGGCAATTATCAGGATGAGGAACTAAAGGTATAAAGGATCTTTGTTAGGGTTTCAGCTTAGGGAAATGGGAGAACAGAGAAAACAGGAAAAAAGATGGGTACTCTCCTTTTAGCACTTCAAACTCAAAGAAAAAAAGCAAATGACTATCTAGGTGTAAACTACACTATACACATCTCTAAGAATGAAACCAACAAATTAGTGCCATTTGCCTAGTAAAGGTCACCATTTCCCTTTTCAATCTAAAACCAAAAACGAAATCCACTACCATCCCCTCGCCCCCATTTTAACTCATAGCAACCCTACAGGACAGAGTAGAACTACCCCATATGGTTTCCAAGGCTGTGAATATTTGGAAACAAACTGCCTCATCTTTCTCCCATGGAGTGGCTGGTGGGTTTGAACTGCCAACCTTTTGGTTAGCAGCCAAGATGCTTTAAATACTGCACCACCAGACTTCCTTCTTCAATCTAAAGTAAATACCAAATCCAAAAGAGTTGCCTGCTTTATTACGTATTTAGGATCGTGTGGTACAAATCATAGCCTAAAGAGAGATGATTTACTACTTAGCCTCCACCATTTAATGAATTTATGGTTTAGTCCAGGAGCTCTGATGGCACAGTGCCTAAGGCACTTACTGCTAACCAGAAGGCTGGTGGTTCAAACCCACCAGCCACTCCTCGGAAGGAAGGTTGGGCAATCTACTTCCGTAGTGATACTGCCTCGGCAACCCAAGGAGGGGTCGCTATGAGTCGGCTCCGACTAGACGACACACAACAACAACAACCAAGGGGAAGGCCCTCAATATCAATAAGATGGATTGGCACAGTGGCTGCAGAGATGGGCTCAGGTACAGTAGGGATCATGAGGCTGGCACAGGGCAGGGCAGTTTTTCGTTGTTGTACATAAGGTCGCTGAGTCGTGGAAGACTCGACGGCACATAACAAAAGCAACATCAAGGACAGCTTAATATGTGTCAGTGAAAAGCTCTGTCCTGTCCTCTAGGAGCTGGTGGTCCAATAGAGCCAGACAAGGGGGTAATTTCAGTGCTCAGTGCAACGAGGCGGGCTCCTAGGCCGGCTTTCTGTTGTGTTGTTGTTGTTAGGTGCCGTCGAGTCGTTTCCGACTCATAGCGACCCCATGCACAGCAGAACGAAACACCACCCCATCCCGCGCCAGCTCCACGATCCTTGCTATACTTGAGCCCACTGTCGCAGTCACCGTGTCAATCCATCTCATCGAAGGCCTCCCCCTCCGTCGTCGACCCTCCACCTTACGAAGCATGACATCCTTCTCCACGGAATGGTCCCCTCTGACAATATGACCAAAGTAGATGAGACAAGTCTGGCCATCCTCGCTCCCAAGGAGCATCTCGGCGGGCCTATAGCTGATGATACCGTCTAGGGGCACGTGCGTGGAGGAAGGGGAGCATCTTGGAGTCTCCCTCGCCCCACCCGGATGACTACCTGTACCCGTCCCTCCAGTCGCCCAGGCTCTCGGTACCTCTGGCCATGGAGGCCTACAAGCCCCCTCCAGATTCTTCCCTTCCAGCTCCCAAACGACCTCTCGCGTCTGGCCTGGCCAATCCCGAGCGCTCGCCCCACGCGCTCCCCAGGGGACCTCGCTGCGCGGCCCGGGGCAGCCTCCAGCGAAGAGGAGGGGGAGGAACCTGGACGCGGTCCCTGCGGTCAAAGGATGAAAAGATCACCTTTCGTCGGAGTCCGTAGCTGCCCTTTTCCCCAGGGCCGGGTTAGGGGGTTTGGAAAAAAGATTCTCAAAATCCATTACTCTGACCGACGTCTCACTCTCAAGAGTCAGAGCCGCGACGCACCAGCCCGACAGCTGCAAGCACACCACAACCACAGCACTTCCAGCACCGCAAATGCACAAAAGGCCGCAATCTCCGTAAGCTCCGCCCCCGGCTTCAACCCCGCCCACGCCGCGCACGCGTCCCCCGCCCCGCTCACGGAGGCGCTTCGCACGCCTGCTCAGAACTCTTCTTGCCCGCCTGCCTGCTGCTCTGCGCAGGCGCCACCTTAATTACATACTATCCCACCCATTATGTTAAATGTTTAGCAGAATTTTAAAACTTAAGTCTTTAGAATCTCCTTTCTTCACTTTGGTAAAAACTGTTCATTGGACACCACAATGTTTATAAGGAATGGTAGCAATAACACTTATTTAAACAATCACTATAAGCCAGGCATCATTTCAGATATTCATTTAATCCTCACAAAATCTTGTAAGATAGGGAATATTATCTTCCACATTTTTTTTCAGATGGGTAAACCTGTAGAGTCTCTGGAATCTAGTGAAATTAAAATAAATACACAAGTAACTTTAAAGGGAAGAGGCCATTAAAAAGTACCAAGTGCTAAGACAATTCAGAAGAGAAAAAAAAAATCACATTTGGTTGGGAAGTCTTCTTGAAAGAGATAAAATTGAGTTAAATCTTGAGATGATTTCTACAGGGCAGATGAAGGTGCTAGTAAAGGGGCATTCTAAGTGTAGTGAGTTGTATGAATGAAAATATCAAGGCAGGAAAATACAGCATTCATTTGAAAAACAGCTTTGCTTAGCATAAAGCAAGTATAAGGGATGAAGTATTACTGATGAAGATCAAAGACTACAGTGTTCAGTATGGATTGGTCCTCAACATAAAACGAAAATCCTCACAACTGGACCAATAAGCAATATCATGATAAACAAGGAAAAGAATGGAGTTGTCAGGGGTTTCATTTCACTTGGATCTACAGTCAACACTCAGGGAAGCAGCAGTCAGGAAATTAGACATCGTATTGCACTGGGAAAATCTGTTGCATAAGACCTCTTTAAAGTGTTAAGAAGAAAAAAAAGAAAAAAGAAAGTGTGCCTCACCCCACCACTCCACCCAAAAAAGACCTCTTTAAAGTGTTAAGAAGCAAATGTGTCACTTTGAAGACTAAGGTGTGCCTGACCCAAACCATAGTATTTTAGGTCACCTCATATGCATGTGAAAGCCGGACAATGAATAAGGAAGATCAAAGATGAACTGATGCCTTTGAATTGTGGTGTTGGCAAAGAATACTGAAAATGCCATGGACTGACAGAAGAAGGAACAAATCTGTCCTGGAAGAAGTGCAGCTGGGCTGCTCCTTGGAAGCGGGAATGGCTAGACATCGTCTCACCTACTTTGGTCATGTTGTCAGAAGGGACCATTCTCTGAAGAAGAATATCGTGCTTGGTAAAGTACAGGGTCAATGAAGAAGGGGAAGACCCTCAATGAGACAGATTGACACAATGTCTGCAACGACGGACTCAAGGATAGCAAGAATTGTGAGGATGGCACAGGACCAGGCAATATCTGTTATATGTCAGAGCCGACTCGACGGCACCTAACAACAACAGTATAAGGGAATGATAGAGAAGAAGGTTTAAACTGTAGGTTGAGCTATGCCAGGGAGCCTGACTTGATTCTGTAAGTGAAGGGGATGTTTGATTCCTGGTGTGAGTCAGGAGCCACCTCATAGACAATGAAGGAGTTTTATGAAGCCAGATACCTTACCCAGAGAAGTTCTACTTTTGCCTCTTGTTTATATTTTACTCCTCTGAAGGAAGATGGAGCAATCTAGTTCCGTAGTGATACTACCTTGGCAACCTAAGGAGGGGTTGCTATGAGTCAGGTCCGACTTGACAGCACATAACAACAACAACAACATTTGTTAAAAATGTTTTATGGAAATATAATTTATGTACAGTAAAATACACAAAACTAAAGTGACATGGGTCAATGCTTTTTTTTTTGCAGTGCTCCCCTCCCTCCCACCCCTGGTAACCAACAAAGAAAGTTTCCTTCCTTGTGTAAACCTTTCCTTGACTTTTACAATAATGAACTATACTGTATTCATCCTTCTATGATTGACTTATTTCACTCAGCATAATGTCCTCATTCATGTTATGCCATGTTTTGCAGATTCTACATTTCCTTTAGTGTTGCATAGTATTCCATTGTGTGTCTGTGCCATAGTTTGGTTATCCATTATCTGTTGATGGGCACATAGGTTGTTTCCATCTTTTTGCTATTGTAAATAGTGCTGCGATGAACATGGGTGTGCATATATCTGTTCTTGTCCTGGCTCTCACTTCATTTTACAGTCCCAGCAGCAGTGTATGGGAGTCCCGATCTCTCCACATCCTTGCCAGCATTTGTTATTTTCTGTCCTGTTGAACATTGCCATTAGTGCTGGCGTGAGATGGTATCTCATTGTTCTTTTGATTTGCATCTCTGTGATGGCTAATGATCGTGAGCATTTCTTCAGGTATTTGCTGGCTGCTTGAATATCCTCTTTGGTGAAGTGTCTATTCATGTCTGCTGCCCATTTTTTAATTGGATTGTTAACCTTCTTGTTGAAGTGTTGGAGTTTTCTATAAATTTTAGAGATAAGTTCATTGTCAGATATGTCATTGCTGAATATTATTTCCCAATCTGTAAATTCTCTGTTTACTCTTTTGGAGAAGTTTTTGGAAGCACATAAAAATTGAATTTTTAGACGGTCCCATTCATTTATGATGGAACCCAGTGGAGAACTGAAGAACTTTCCAAATGATCCCAATCCAAATCACTGACCTACAGAACTGTGAATTAAGTAAAATATGTGTTGTTTTGACCACTGAGTTTTAAAGCAGTTTATTACACAGAAATATTTAACTGAGACTTCCAGTCAGATGGCAGAGTAGGCAGACAAGCTCCACAGACCCTCTTCAACAAAGAAAAGAAAAACCAATTGACAGAGTCCTGAGCTTTGAAAGGAACTATACAGAAGTGGGTTAGGCACCAACTAATGGAAAAACCTGAACGAAAACAGGACCCAAGAACAGGCTCTGCTTGTCAGGGTCAGCAAGGACACATGAGAGGCTGACAAAAGAAAGGAGACAGGTGGTGAGTGTATAAGTGCTGTCAACTAGTGACTAGAGGAGCACAGCACAGTACCCTGCCTGTATAGATAACATACAAACAAAGCAAAGAAAATGAAAATTGTGGGCAAGTCACTCCAACATACAAGCACCAATTAAATATAAACACAAAAATGTCATAATGCTTCGGAGACAACAGAGCATTACAGTCCACACAAAGAAGCAAAATAAAGCAGGAGAAACAAGGGACCAGGATACAGACCCAAAACACATCCTTGAGGAAGATGAAGCATTCCTAAGAATTATATTTAGGTATCTTCAAAGGATTAATAGAAAACACAGACAAAACCCTAGAAGAATTTTGGAAGAAATTCAAGAACAAAATGACAAAATAAATGAAAAATTAGAAGAGATTCTAAATCTACAGCTAGAAATCCAAAAGATTAATACTAAATTGTCAGAAATAGATAGCACATTGAAAGGGAAAAGGAGTAGAATTGATGCAATGGAAGACAATTAATGAGATTGAAGACAAATACCTGAATACTTCTTTGGAAAGGGATCAATCAGAAAAAATATCAAAACAAAATGAAGAAAGCCTATGATTCATGTGGGACACCATCAAAAGGAATAACCCACGTGTCACTGGAATTCCAGAACATGAAGAGAAAAATAAACCCATTGAGAAAAATGTCCAAGATTTTTGGAGGAGAACTTCCCTGATACGATGAAAGATGAGAATATATCCATTCAGGAAGTCCAATGAACCCTAAACAAGATAGACCCCATAAGAAAAGAAAAACACCAAGACATATCATCATCAAACTCACCAAAACCAAAGACAAAGAAAGAATCATGCGAGCAGCATGGGAAAAAGGAAAAGTTACCTACAAGGGGCAACCAATAAGACTAAGCTTGGATTTCTCAACAGAAACTATGCAGACGAGAAGATAGTGGGATGGTATATATAACACACTGAAAGAGAAACATTTCTAACCAAGATTTATGTACCCAGCAAAACTGTCCCTCAAATATGATGGTGAAATCAGGACATTTCCAGATAAGTAGAAATTAAGGGAATTTATTAAAACCAGACCAAGCTTACAAGAGATACTAAAGGGAGTCCTTTGGACAGAGAAGCAACAACAACCAACAACAACTGACCATTAACACACATGATGATATAACCCAGAAACCAACCCAGCTATGAAAGTATCCAAAGTAATAAGCCTACAAGACTGTAAACAGGGAACCAGAGACACCAACCGACAAATGAGGACAACTACAAACCAAAAAGAGGGAAAAAAAATCTTTGTCATTACAGAACTTCTAGATGGTAGGGAAGTCAAGACAACTACAAGATAGAATGGACTGTTCTACACTTGGGAAGAAAAACTATAAATCACAAGGTAACCTCAAAGAAAAATTATAAACCTTCACATCAAAATAAAAAAGAGGACCAGTATAACTATTCAGCAAATACTAAAACAATAGCAATGAAAGAAGTGTTAACATGATTCACAGACAAAATGAGCTCAGTATAGAAAATTATGGAGCTCTGTGGTGTAGTGCCTAAGGCATTTGACTGCTAACCAGAAGGCTGGTGGTTCAAACCCACCAGCCACTCCTCAGAAGGAAGATGGGGCAATCTACTTCCATAGTGATACTGCCTTGGAAACCCAAGGAGGGGTCACTATGAGTTGGGTCCGACTCAACGGTACATAACAACAACACAACAACAGAAAATTATATGGAACAAAGAAACAGACACAATGAAAAAGCACATGACAAAAATGACAGCAACAAATTCATATTTGCTGATAATTACTTATCTGGCATGGGAGCTCTGGTAGCCTAGTGCCTAAGGCACTTGACTGCTAAACAGAAGGCTG